ACACACACCAACACACACACCAACACACACACCAACACACACACCAACACACACACCAACACACACACCAACACACACACCAACACCAACACACACACCAACACACACACCAACACACACACCAACACACACACCAACACACACACCAACACACACACAAACACACACACCAACACACACACCAACACACACACCAACACACACACCAACACACACACCAACACACACACCAACACACACACCAACACACCAACACACACACACACACACACCAACAAACACACACACACCACACCAACACACACACACACACCACACCAACACACACACACACACACAAACACACACACACACACACACACACACACACACACACACACACACACACACACACACACACACACACACACACACACACACACACACACACACACACTCACCAAGATACCTAGTGTACGGTGCCCTCGATCTGGGGTGTTCTTTGAGGTGTCGCAAGATACTCAAGTTTTTTTTCAACGCAAAAGAGTGCAGCAACAGTGGGCGCCTCTCCTGCCGCCACATTCGGGAGCCCCACCCGCCAGGACGCCTGTCGCGAACGTGGCAGGGGCCTCGGAGGGACGGGTGCTGGCAGAGCTTGGAGTTGATGAGAGTTGAGAAGTTGAGAGAAGTTGTACCAAGTTGGAGAGACTCAGAGAAGGCTGTAGTGCATCCCGCGTCCGACTTGGTGCGAGCTCCCGTTGCATCCATGGGGGTCCTGAAGATTCCTGAAGGCCGCCTGGGGAGTGCGACGCCTCTGTCACGTGGGCGAAGGTGTAGAGAGAGACGCCCCCCGAGTCCGAGGCCCGACGGCGCTGATGCTCGCTGCCGAGTATGGTCAGCGAGACTGCCTGGAAGTGCTCCTGCAGGCGGGAGCGGACAAGGCCCGTGCGGGGTGCCGGTTTTTGCACGTGGGCTCTAAAGGGGGGGAAGAGGTTGTGGAAGGCTGCCAGCTTCAGCTGCCGGAGACTTTTCCACACTCCCTTCTGCCGGAATCCCGCAACCCCACTCTGACCGCAGCATAAATGCACCAGTAAGTTGGAAGTGGATGTTGAGTCTGTCCGGGCGAAACCCTTCTTCCCCGGTCCTGCCAGTACAATCCTCCTGAGAGCATTCTGTGAAATCTGGGCCAGGCAAGCACACACTTTTTCCATACCACTCGGACAATTTGGTGCAACTTCTCATCACAAGCAGGGCTGCAATCTTTGCATTTTGCATGTTCGAGCACATCCTTCTCTGTAAAGGACTTGACTTAGTTGGTACAACCCTGAATCGCTTCAAGCTGGATTGGGAGCCCCTCATGTTGCAGAGCCACCCTATGCCCCCCAATGACAGACGAAAGTGACTGGCCATGCAGTCTCCAGCAGATCCACATTTTTGGGGGTTCTGAGACAGGTTTCCATGCCTTGCGGAAGGGGCCAGTTGCTCATGAGCCTGGGCCCTCGACTTTCCATAGTCGGAGGATCTGATATATGGGTTGAAGCCCTCGTCTCTAGATTGCAGAGCTTGAACTCAGTCAGCCCTGTAGCATTGGAGGAAGGTAGGGGTCCGGCAGGGTTTCAGGTTGGGGCTCTGACTGCTGAAGACCACACAAACGCGACGCAATCGCCAGACATGGACTGAAGGGTGCCCTCGATCTGGGGCGTTCTTTGAGGCGTCGCAAGATTCTCAATTTTTGAACGCAAAAGAGTGCAGCAACAGTGGGCGCCGCTCCTCCCGCCACACTCGGGAGCCCCGCCCGCCAGGAGGCCCGTGACAAATATGGCAGTGGCCTCGGAGGGACGGGTTGCAGGCAGAGCTTGGAGTTGGTGAGAGTTGAGAAGTTGAGAAGTTGTACCAAGTTGGAGAGATTCACAGAAGGCTGTATTGCATCCCGCATCCGACTTGTGCGAGTTCCCATTGCCTCCATGGGGGTCCTGAAGGCCGCCTGGGGAGTCCGACGCCTCCGTCACGTGGGCGAAGGTGTAGAGAGAGACGCCCCCCGAGTCCGAGGCAAGACGGCGCTGATGCTCGCTGCCCGTTTTGGCCAGCGAGACTGCCTGGAAGCGCTCCTGCAAGCGGGAGCGGACAAGGCCTGTGCGGGGTGCCGGTGTTGCACGTGGGCTCTAAGGGGGGGAAGGGGTTGTGGGAGGCTGCCAGCTTGAGCTGCCGGGGCTTTTCCCACTGACCGCAGCATAAATGCACCGACCGTTTCCTTTTGCAGCGTTTTGACTGTAGTTACATCCGGGCCATCCGGGGGCTTATGAGGGGGATCAGATGCATTCCGAAACTCATTAGGCCTGAGGGCCTCGGCGGTTTTTGGAGTGCGTATGGCAATCGCCGCGGGGTCTTCATTTTTGGGCACATTTGGCTGCGGGACTTGGTTTTTTAAAAAACGATGTAGGCACTTAAAACTGGGTTGGGAGCCATCCTGATATTGCAGAGCCAGCCTCAAGACGAACCACCCCCCCACCCGAACCTGGGTTATGGCCCCCAAGGCCGAACATGACCGTGTCTCTGTCTCCAGGTGCATGAGCTTAAGCCCTCAGCGAGCCCCATGCCCGTAGCCTTTGGGTAGGCAGGATGGCAAAGGCATTTTGAAGCCACAGACGGGGCTGTGCGGGATAGCGAGCAACACAATCACCACACACTCACCATACCTAGACTGAAGGGTGCCCTCGATCTGGGGTGTTCTTTGAGGCGTCGCAAGATACTCTTCTTTTAAACGCAAATAGAGTGCAGCAACAGTGGGCGCCTCTGCTGCCGCCACAGCCACACTCGGGAGCCCCACCCGCCAGGAGGCCCATGAAAGGTGGGGCAGGGGCCTCGGAGGGACGGGTGCTGGCAGAGCTTTGGAGTTGATGAGAGTTGGAGAAGTTGAGAAGTTGTACCAAGTTGGAGAGACTCAGAGAAGGCTGTATTGCATCCCGCATCCGACTTGTGCGAGTTCCCATTGCCTCCATGGGGGTCCTGAAGGCCGCCTGGGGAGTCCGACGCCTCCGTCACGTGGGCGAAGGTGTAGAGAGAGACGCCCCCCGAGTCCGAGGCCTGACGGCGCTGATGCTCGCTCAGCGAGACTGCCTGGAAGCGCTCCTGCAAGCGGGAGCGGACAAGGCCCTTTCCACACTCCCTTCTGCCGGAATCCCGCAAACCCTACCCTGACCGCAGCATAAATGCACCAGTAAGTTGGAAGTGGATGTTGAGTCAGCCCGGGCGAAACCCTGCAACCCCGGTCCTGCCAGCACAATTCTCCTGAGAGCATTGTGAAATCTGGGCCATGCAAGCACACACTTTTTCCATACCACTTGGACAATTTGGAGAACTTCTCATGACAAGCAGGGCTGCAGTCTTTGCATTTTTTCATTTTCGAGCACATCCTTGTCGGTAAAGGACTTGACTTGGTTGGTACAACCCTGAATCGCTTCAAACTGGATTGGGAGCATCTCATGTTGCAGATATGCCCCCCCCGCGGATCCACGTTTGGGGGTTCTGAGACAGGTTTCCATGCATTGGGGAAGGGGGCAGTTGCTTATGAGCCTGGGCCCTCGACTTTCCACAGTCGGAGGGTCTGATATATGGGTTGAAGCCCCCGTCTCGAGATGGAGAGCTTGAACTTAGTCAGCCCGGGCGCGTGCGACTCTGGAACGCACGGGTTTGGCGCCGTCTATAGTGTCAAAAGCCACGACCTTTCAACCCTATGTAGGTCCTCAGCTCAAAAGCCTCCAAACCTGAATGCCTTCAAACCGAAGCTGCAACCTTAGAATAGCAACAAATGCCGCCCTGCAACCACGCCACGGGGCCCGCAGCCACGCCGAGGGAAAGGCTATCCGCCCATGAGCCATCGTGTCAGGCTGTCGAAAACCAAGGCCGCTGATGCTCCTGATGCGCGTCCCGCGGTCCCGGACTGAACCCGCTGATGCTCATGATATTGGGGGGGGTCCGTGGCCCAAACATTACGCAAATTAACACCAAAATTGGTGGGGGCTGCGGCACTGCCGTCCAGCCTACTTGTGCTACGCACAGGGCTAGTTCGATTCGCGCGGAATAGACCCCGTTACACAGGTTCGCGACAGGGTCAGCCATGGCGTCGTTGTGTTCGAGTAGTGCTATACCCCCCCAGTCGTACACCCGACGCCGCGGGATCCTCCTTTTCGTGGTTGACAGGGTTTCTGCATGCGTGGTCGGGATTGAGCCGGGGAGAGGCGCGTTGGGTTGGGGGGGGAGTGGAGGGGATGGAGGGGGTGGGGCGGCGGATGGTGGATGGAGGGGGGGCAAGTGGCATGCCGTGGGGCGGACACAGAAAACCCTTCGACATTCAAGAGCAAATAGGACGACAATGGGTTTAGGGTTTAGGGTTTAGGGTTTAGGGTTCAAGAGCTCTTGGTCGAGCAGTTCCTCGTTTAGGCTCTGTGTTTAGAACATCGAAAAATACCCACCCACCCGAAGCTCCCATAACATTAAGAAATAAAAAGTTTCTTCTTTTATTAGGATGGTTTAATAACAAAATGAATGGCTTCCACTTAACAAACGAGGAGGTGGAGATACTGAACTACGCGAGGCTTTGAGGTCTTGAAGCCCTAAACTGAGGCCTTGAAACCCTAAACACCAGGCCTTCAGGCTTTGAAACCCTAAACGTTCGGCCTTGAACCCTCAACATTAGGCCTTGAGGCCCTGGAACTCTAAACGTCAAGCCGTGAGGCCCTGACCACCCGGCTTAAGGCCCTGAAACCCTGAACAGCAGGCCTTGAGGCCCTCAAGCCTTGAACACTAGGCCTTGAGGTCCTGGCACCCTAAACACCAGGCCTTGAAGCCTGGAACCGCCTTGAAACCCTAAACATAGGCGTTCGTTCACCAGGCCTTGAGGCCCTGAATCCTAAACACCAGAACTAGGTTGTGAAAAGGTCGCGGGGGCAGCCCTTCCTCAGAAAAACCCTGAAAAAACCCTAAGAAACATGGAAAACCTTAAAAAGAACATGAAAAACCTTGAAAAACCCTAAAAAACTTGAAATAACACGGCTTTGAGGCCTTGAAACCCTAAACGCTGGACCCTGAAACCCTAAACACAGGCCTGGAGGCCTTGAAACCCGAAACGTTGGGCCCTGAAACCCTAAACACAGGCCCCGAGGCCCTGAGGCCTTGAAACCCAAAATACAGGCCCTGAGGCCTTGAAAACCTAAACGCTGGGTGAGGCCTTGAAACCCTAAACGCTGGGCCCTGGACCCGTGAGGCCTTGAAACCCTAAACGCTGGGCCCTGAAACCCTAAACGCAGGCCCTGAAACCCTGAAACCCTAAACACCAGGACTTGAGGCCTTGAAACCCTAAACGCTGGGCCTGAAACCCTAAACACAGGCCCTGAGGCCTTGAAACCCTAAACGGTGGGCCCTGAAACCCAAAACACAGGCCCTGAGGCCCTGAAACCCTAAACACAGGCCCGAGGCCCTTGAAACCCTAAACACAGGCCCTGAAACCCTAAACACAGGCCCTGAGGCCTTGAAACCCTAAACGCTGGGCCCCTGAAGCCCTAAACACAGGCCCTGAGCCCTTGAAACCCTAAACGCTGGGCCCTTGAAACCCTAAACACAGGCCCTGAGACCTGAAACCCTAAACACAGGCCCTGAGGCCTTGAAACCCTAAACACAGGCCCTGAGGCCTTGAAACCCTAAACGCTGGGCCCTGAAACCCTAAACACAGGCCCTGAGGCCTTGAAACCCTAGAAGCCTTTTAAACCCTAAACACAGGCCCTGAAGCCTTGAAACCCTAAACGCTGGGCCCTGAAACCCTAAACACAGGCCCTGAGACCTGAAACCCTAAACACAGGCCCTGAGGCCCTGAAACCCTAAACACAGGCCTTGAAACCCTAAACACAGGCCCTGAGGCCCTGAAACCCTAAACGCAGGCCCTGACCCCTTGAAACCCTAAACACAGGCCCTGAGGCCTTGAACCCCTAAACGCTGGGCCGTGAAACCCTAAACACAGGCCCTGAGAGGGCTTGAAACCCTAAACGCTGGGCCCTGAAACCGGCCCTGTGGGGTGGTGGGTTGGGGTTGGGGTTGAGGGTTAGGGTTTAGGGTTAGGGTTTAGGGTTTAGGGTTTAGGGTTTAGGGTTTAGGGTTTAGGGTTTAGGGTTTAGGGTTTAGGGTTTAGGGTTTAGGGTTTAGGGTTTAGGGTTTAGGGTTTAGGGTTTAGGGTTTAGGGTTTAGGGTTTAGGACTTAGGGGGTTTAGGGTTAGGGGGGGTTAGGGGTTAGGGGTTTAGGGGTTTAGGGGTTTAGGGTTTAGGGTTTAGGGGGTGGGGCGGGGGGGGTGGGGGGGGAGATACCATGGGGGGGGGATACCATGGGGGGGGGGGGGGTGGGGGGGGGGGGGGGGGGGGGGTACCGACACGGGACACGGAACCTTTTATCAGACCCTCCGACTATGGAAAGTCGAGGGCCCAGGCTCACAAGCAACTGGCCCCTTCCGCAATGCATGGAAACCTGTCTAAACTGAAACGCGACACAATCGCCAGACATGGACTGAAGGGTGCCCTCGATTTTGGGTGTTCTTTGAGGCGTCGCAAGACACTCAGTTGTTTGTTAACGCAAAAGTGTGCAGCAACAGTGGGCGCCTCTCCTGCCGCACTCGGGAGCCCCGCCCGCCAGGAGGCCCGTGACGAACATGGCAGGGGCCTCGGAGGGACGGGTGCTGGCAGAGCTTGGAGTTGATGAGAGTTGAGAAGTTGAGAAGCTGTACCAAGTTGGAGAGACTCAGAGAAGGCTGTAGTGCATCCCGCATTCGACTTGTGCGAGTTCCCATTGCCTCCATGGGGGTCCTGAAGGCCGCCTTAGTCCGACGTTTCTGTCACGTGGGCGAAGGTGTAGAGAGAGATGCCTTCCGAGTCCGAGGCCGGACGGCGCTGATGCTCGCTGCCCAAGAAGGCGAGCGAGACTCCCTGGCAGCGCTCCTGCAAGCGGGAGCGGACAAGGCCTGTGCGGGGTGCCGGTGTTTGCACGCGGGCTCTCAGGGGGGGGAAGGGGTTGCGGAAGGCTGCCAGCTTCAGCTGCCGGAGACTTTTCCACGCTCCCTTCTGCCGGAATCCAGCAACCCCTGACCGCAGCAAAAATGCACCAGTAAGTTGGCAGTGGATGTTGAGTCAGCCCGGGCGAAACCTGCTTCCCCGGTCCTGCCAGTACAATCCTCCTGAGAGCATTCTGTGAAATCTGGGCCAGGCAAGCACGCACTTTTTCATGCCGTCCAGCCTATTTGTGCTTCGCACAAGGCTAGTTGATTAGATTAGCATATAAATCCCGGGTTACACAGGTTCGCGACAGGGTCAGCCATGGCGTCGCTGTGTTCGAGTAGTGCTATACCCCCCACCAGAAGTCGTACACCCGACGCCGCGGGATCCTCCTTTTCGTGGTTGACAGGGTTTCTGCATGCGTGGTCGGGGGCATTACACCATGAGGGCTCTCCCATTGAGCCGGGGAGAGGCGCGTTGGGTTGGGGGGGGAAGTGGTGGGGATGGAGGGGGTGGGGCGGGGGATGGTGGATGGAGGGAGGCGGGTTCGGACACAGAAAACCCGTCGAAATTTCACGACCCTCCGCGGTCGGCGCCAGGCCCGGAAGCCCTCCCCTTGCTCTCGGCCCCCCTGCTGCCCTCCCAAAAGGAAGCGAAGGACAACCGCGGCCGGAGCCTGGGAGTCCCTTCTGCGGCTTGTGCGGTAGAGAGAGGCAACTTTGGGCCGCTCCTCGAACTCCCAACAAGACTTGATGGTGGCCCTTACAGGTTTTGGAGCTCTTGCTTTCCGCGCCCCCTAAAAGCTCGTAAGGCCTGACGGCGCTGGATGTGGCCCTGAACGAGGTGGAGTCGGATTTTGGATTGGGGAGAGCCGGGGCTTCCTCTGCATGGCGGTTTCGGGTTTAGGGTTCAGGGTGTAGGGTTCAGGGTTTAGGGAGCATGTTGCATGTTCTTGACTTCACAGCTAGGAACCACTTTTCCCCTCTGGGTCCTGTTGCGATGCCATGTGCAACCGGACCTTTCCCTTGTGGCATCTATCTTGATTCTAGGAACATCGCGCAGCCCTTATGATCCACAAGGAAGGCCGCCCTAAATCATGAACCCTAAATCCATCTAAGTCCCAGCTCAACCCAAACCCCTTTCTCCTGATCCCCGCCAGTCTCCAGAATCTCCGGCAACAAAGCCAGGAGTGCAAGCAGATCCTGAGCCCCAGCCTTGGTTGCGTCGCGCTTCTGTTGTGGCCTCTTTGGGGGCTGGTTTTGGCCTTCCGAGGGTTCAGCAGCCGGGTCCGCTTTTTGGCGGGGGTTTGCAAGCCAGAAAAGGGGCAAATACAACCCTCACAACTCTCGGGAGCCAAGCTACCTCCCCCTCACTCAAGCGATCTCAAGTGGGCGCAGAGTTCTTTTTGCAACTTGCGGGGAGGTAGTTCGTGTGGAAGGAGCAAGATCCCAATTTCCCGAGCTCTCCCACGTGCGTGAAGGGCTTTACTTGTCGTCAGCTCCGAGCCATCTGTTGCTCCAACTTAAATCCGTCGATGCCACGCCCTTGAAGCCTCGCAAGCAGCATAATGAAAAGGCAGCCAAAAGCCCACCCATACTACAACCCGCGTTTGGTCCTGTGCTGTCTCAGTAAAAAAAGTGCTTCCCTTGCAGGCGAGAAAGGGTGTAAGTTGATTCCGTGGAGCTCGGAGCGCGAATGTTGCGCATTGAGGCACTTGACGGACGCCCCGCGCCTGCGGTGGAGCCAGGCGCGCTGAGGGATTCTCCCGGCTCTGCCCTGAATATCCGACGGCGGTGCCCAAAAGCCTCAGGTCGCACGGGTTTGGAACGTGCCCAAGGGCGGGTTGAGGTCGAAGCGCTCCTATGCTTAGCACTTGCATAGGCCTGCGTCCAAAGTGACAAGAACCACCCGAGCCACCCGGAGCTCCACGGCTCCGAAGCTCCCTTTGAAGGGCACTTTGCCCAATCCCTCTGAGCCAAGTTGCAAAGGGTCCAAGAAAGCCATGTGCCGCCATCTGCTGCCGCCCGGCAGCAACCAAAACAATCTTGACGCCTTGATCCTGACTCCTGAGTGTACATTTTTGTCCCGAGGGTGGGTGGGCTTATAGGGGAAGAATGCATTCCGTGAAGGAAGTATGGTGTTGTGTTGCGCTGGTTTGCTTCCTGCACACGCGGCGTGCGCGAGTGGCTGCTGCCCGTAGCGAAGACTCTCACTCACTCGATCACTTGGGTTACCACTGGAACCTGGTACCATAAAAACTCGTAATTACTGGTAGCCCATCAGGGCGAAGGTGTCACATTCGTGTTCAGCAGGCTCGCTACAAGGACAGACGGGAAGGACACGTGGGATTTGGTTTGGCATGTAGGGGTCTGGGTTCTCCAGTACCGGAGTGACATGGACGGTGTGCTGCGCGCCCGTTGAATCCTGCTTTAGCTGCCTCACTGCCTCACGATGAGGCAGGACAGCCCCCCCTGCACACTGTGACCTCTCACGTTCAATTCCACCCCTAGGACTTTTCAGTTGTTCAGAGCCCACCTGGCAGTCACAAGGGAGGCCCTGCATGCCGCTGCGCCTGCGACGCAAAGACAACTAAAACTAGTGTTGTACTGGTCTTCCTCCATCTGCTGCTGCTGCTGCTGCTGCTGCCTACTGCTGTAGCAGGAACGAGATAGCCCGATGCGTGCAGGCTGGGCCATGGCGGAGACGATCGCAGTAGGGCGGACTTAGGGCGTCCGGTGAAAAATGTACAGCTCTCGCACTTATCACAGCGAGAATGTGGCGACTGCTTATGGTGTTTGGAGTGCGCTTCCGCTGGCACTAGGATGGGACCCTAGATTCTTCGCTGAGCACAACAATGACAAGCATCCTGTCCAAGCGCTTGCTGGAAGAATTCTTTGGGGCTTGGTTCGGAGGAAAACTCCGAAGGAAGCTCGAGCACGCGCAAATTAGCCGTGCCTAGCCTAGCTAGTCAATTGCACGTTGGCACCCTGTAGAACGGCGAGAAGGACCACATTCTTCACGCCCCTCACCCCCAGCACATCTGCAGATGAGGGCCGTTTGCACCCGCAAGTCAACGTGCCGCGACATACTCGAGTACTCGAGAGGATGCCGAAGCACAGGGCACTGTTGGGTGCCCTTCGCCTCGGCAGTTTACTGCACTAGCAGCCGAAGCCTGAGAACTGCCCACCGTTTTTTCCGGATCGCTGCTCAGCCTGGGCAAAACTCCCTCCAAGAGGGTTTTGCCAAGGCTGCGCGATGCAGATGGTAGGAAGGCAGCTGGAACTGACCAAGTTGCAACACTTCTTTATGGCTGGCAGATGTTGTCATTATGAGTGAGACGAGCTATCCGCGTGAATCCTGCCTTGCTCTTAGCGGTGGCTTTTTCCTCCCGAGGAGGTGTGTGTCCCGCCTGGGTAGAAAGCAGAGTCTCGGCGCTTGTCAGCCATTCAGAAAAGGTTGCTGACGCGGCGTGAGTGATGTAGGTTCATGCTGGCTAGAACAGCAGTGTCAGACTTGCACTGAAACCTTCAATCATGCGGCCAAGCGCCTTCTCTGTTTGATCCATGGTGACTGGCAGAGGGGGAGAGGCATGGAGCCCTTTGTGACATGATGGCGGGCAGCTCCCTTCATGCAGCTCCCTTCATGCAGCCGCTGGCAGTTCAATATACAAAGCCCGCTGATTTTTGGCCAATCGCACCCGAATCCCGAGCCTGGGATCTTGCGTACCGCAACCCTGCAACCCTGAACTCCCTGGACCTGAGACAGAGCTCTTAGAGGCTTAGAGGCCTGAAGCCCCGCACGGAGGAGGTGATGTCGGGTAGTCTATAGGGGTTGAAGGGTTGATACGGTTTATGGGGTTTATAGGGTTTACAGGGTTCAAGGATGAGGCTTTTGGAGGCGTCGTACGCACAGCCCGCAACTCGGTGACATGCCCCCCTATCGAGTCGGAACGAAGCTTGGCTCGATTGAACCCACGTCCGCCCCCCTCCCCCCCGCCCTTTGCAACGTCGATCCTCCCCCGTTTTGATCTCACACGGCGCGGCTGCGCAATTCCGCTTTCGCGAGCTTATATGTATCCGGCAGGTGTTTCATATTAGCAGCTCGAGGTTTCGGGCCACACCGCCTTTTCCACATGCTCATGCTTTCCATGATTTACTTCTCAGCTCTGAGAGATGGCCCTGCAACCGCATTCTTCTGCTCACGCAGCGTGTCTCTGCCCAAGACCGTGAGATTTGCTCACGGCGGGCTGAGCATTGCTCCCGCTTCCTTTGTGCGAGTTCCATGGCCACGTTTGCGGCGGGCGATCGCATCCTCTTCAAAAACGAGCAGGCCGCAAGTTTGCCGAAAGCCCCCACGATAGACAAGTCTGGGAGGGCCAGAGCAGATGCCCGATGCCCAGCCACTGTCACCATGACCCCAAGCTTCGGAGCAGGAACAGTGCTGCCATGTGCTACTATACCCCTTTACCCTAAACAGTCAAGACATGTCAAGACAGTAGCATTGAGAATGGCAATCATCCAGCAGGAATGAGTCTCTCTCCTGAAACCCAAATTGTTCCAGACCAAAAGCCTTCGGGGACCCCCTAAATAACCCTAAACCCTAAACCCTAAACCCTAAATCCAAAACCCTAAACTCTAAACCCTAAACCCGAAAAGGTCCCGTCCTGAAACTGGCATCGCGGGGCTTTTGCAGGAGAGGCAGCTGCACGGCACCGTCCGCTTCGTCGGAAGGACCGACTTCGCAGAAGGCGAACCTGGGCATGGAATTGGGGCCTCCACACTTTAGGGTCCAGGGTTTATGGTTCAGGGTTTAGGGTTTAGGGTGTTAGGGTGTTAGGGTGTTAGGGTGTTAGGGTATTAGGGTGTTCGGGGTTAGGGTTTAGGATGAAGCACCTGCATGCTGCGCTGATTCTGGCAACGACGACGAGGATGGTGATGATCGTTTCTGGGATGTGCGATGCCGATGCCCGATGCTTCCAGGGAGCTTCGAACTGAAAGGCCTCAGGGGTCAGCCACGCACAACCCTAGGCCACCGGGAAGTGGTGACCCCAAAAAACTCAAAAGTCCTGAGACTCAAGGTTCTGAGGCCTGCAGCTTCTTTGAGAGATCTAAGGATTGGCTCGGCTTGGAGTTGGACGAGAAGGCGAGACGCAAGTTGCAAGAGAGGCTTCCCATGGCCACCACAGCAGTCTAAGCACACTGTAAGCACGCCACAGCCTTCTGCATGATTCTGCAGACTCGCACCTCTCTTTCCCAGCGCAGTTTTTCAGCGCTGCGCCCCTTCTGGACCAGGTCGGCAAGAATGATGGCTCGGTGAGGGGCAAAGCGTACTTCCAGTGCCAGCCACAGTGCCCCCTAGCATGTGCTGCAGCCATCGCATGTTCTGTGCGCCTCTGCTTTTGCCGTGTGTGTCCGGTAAGGCTAGCAAGATCATGCTCCTTGAGGTTCTGACTAGGGCCAGGGGACAGCACTTTCCAAAGCCCATCTGACAATGGTCACGAAAGAGAGCCATCGGATCTCGAGTGGCCTTTTTGGAACTGTTTTCGGGCTTTGACCCCCTGAGGCCTGACCAATCCGGGGGGAAAAGCGTGGGTGGTGTCGCCCCGTTGGTCCGATAGATCGGACAAGCCTTTTCAAGCGACTCTTCAAGCTCTCAGCTCAGCTGGCCATGTTGTTCTTGTTGTTTTTTGAAGCCGCTGTATCAAGCATTGCGTGGCGGCTGTTGAGCAGAGCCATGTACAAGAGAAACTCGCTTAAGCATGATGCAGCTGAGCCATATCCAGACCGCGCGCTTTGTCGGGGTGAGCTTTCTCTCTCCCTAGTTGGGAAGAGATTCCGGTTTTCAAATGTCATGGGGTTTCAGGATATTTTTGGAATTGCGCCTCTGGTATGGGTCTCCTGACAGGTACGGCCTGTTCGTCCGCTCCAACTCCACGGCGCTGCGCAAGTTGGAGGCACGGGCCCGAGCTTTCGACCCCGCTCCTGCAACCCCAATAAGGTCCCTCCGGGTCATGTGCTTCTTTACTATGCCCCCGCCAAGTTCATGCTTCCAAACAAAGATCAGAGGCACGCCGCGGGCAGAACTGGACTTTATTTCTTTATTTCTTTGTTTTTTTTATTTCTCTCTTTCTCTCTTTCTCTCTTTCTCTCTTTCTCTCTTTCTCTCTTTCTCTCTTTCTCTCTTTCTCTCTTTCTCTCTTTCTCTCTTTCTCTCTTTCTTTCTTGCTTTCTTTCTTTCTTGCTGGCTTTCTTTCTTTCGTTCTTTCTTTCTTTCTTTCTTGAATTTTGAGAGTAGCGAGCATGAGGCAGGCTTGCCTCAGAGCGGCGGAATCCATATGAAGAGCCGCAGGTCTCATTGAATCAAAGGCTATACTCAGTTGCAGTATCCAGCAGCAGCAGAATTTCTAGAGATTCCTTCCCAGGCCCAGGGTTTGGGAAGGCAAGTTCCCGATTCTTTGCAGGGCGTCCTACCAGAGTTTCGTCTACAGCAAATCGCTGAGCACCATCATGTTCCCGGAGCCTCTGACCATCAGACGGGGTCATGCAAAGGTCCGAAGGGTTCCGCAGACAACCGTTTTCTCCCCAAAGAGATCCCGGATGCCTTGAGTTCTTGCGACATCTGCCCGCGTCATGCCCGGAGGATGCGGAGCCTTCCTCACCTTCGGCTCAGGCCGGGGCCGGCTTCTGGGGGTGTCGGTGCTGTTTGTTTGGGGGAGGAGGGCCTGGGCCGCTTCTGCCGCCGTGTGCTACTTGTATGCAGATCCCAGCTGGTGTAGCTGCATCTAACTCATGAGGAGAAGAGGATGTCAGATCGTCAGAACATGCAGCAATCGTTAGAATTCGGGCCTGAGCCACCCTGCACCCCATCTCTTGAAGCTGCAGATCCGAGCCAGAAAACCGGCCCGAGAGTCACCTTTAGGGTTTGGGGTTTAGGGTTTAGGGTTTAGGGTTGATAGAAATTGTGTAGGGTTTGGGTCCCAATAACGTGTTGACCGAAACGTTTTGACCGACAATTTTGACAGAGTTTTTGTTTTGGAACTACGTTTTTCATTTTGGGGGAGGGGGGGGGAGGGGCATGGAGAGGGAGGATCACCGGAAGAGGAGGGGGGGAGGGGGGGGGGGGGGAGGGAGGGGGAGGGGGAGGGGGGGGGGGGGGGAGGGGAGGGGAGGGGGAGGGGAGGGGGGAGGGAGGGGGAGGGGAGGGGAGGGGGAGGGGAGGGGGGGAGGGAGGGGTTTAAGTAAATTGAGCATGTGGCCTCCAGAGAGATGTGTTTTGGAGTTTAAACTCAGCTTGTCAGCTGTTTAGACAAATAACTTGGGAAATTCAGAATGATACCACATACAATTTCTATTTATTTAGTCTTGAGGGTTTAGGGTTTAGGGTGTAGGGTGTAGGGTTTAGGGATCTGAAAAGTAGATCACCTTAAGGGCTCCTAAAAATTGACCCAAAGTAGCATAGGGTACTATTTGGGGGTTCTACTTTTTGGATCCTCCCAGGGGGTCTGGGTAGAGAGTTCTTGGGGCTTCCAAGGCGCAGCAAGTTTTCAAGCACAAACGCACCAGGTGATCTCAGAATACTATCATCTATGTTTACTACGAGACTACCATACTTCTACAACGCCAGACTGTCCTGGAATACTTCATGAGAAGCCGCCTTCTTTCGATTGCTCCGGTGACCAGGCCCAGACGGCAGCATCTCGCAAGGCTCAGGCAGCCGGCTCCGGCATCTAAGGGGTTCCGGCATCTGTAGGAAGGCCACAGCATAACCCTCAACAAGAAAACCCAAGCTGCAGAACTGGGACATGTTCGGGCTGACCTGTGTTCGAGTTTCGTGCTCAACATGCGCTGTAGGGGCCGTGTGGAAATCATGTCTTGAAAAGGACCTCCTCCCTTTGTGAGGTGTGTGCATACGAGTTTCAGTCCCATGCCAGGGCCGAAAAGGCACCGAAATCTGCGATCTAAAGTCTCAGGCGCCCACAGTGTACTACGCCTTTTGCAGCCCCTTTCCCTCCCCCCCTGCCCCCCGAAAGCCTACATACTAAAGGCCCCAATGCGGGAAAATAGTAAGAACACCTCGGAGCCCCAGCAGCTGACAGGCCGGCCGCCGGAGCCAGGAGCAGGAGAAGGCCATTTTTTTACATGTGGGAGGGGGGGGGGGCTGCTTTGCTTCCACTCCTCCTCTCGCTTTTCACCCCCACATGTGCTTTCTCATGCTTTTGAGGGGCATTTTGTAAGTTGCATCTTGGGGGGGAAAGAGTGACCCGAAGACCCAAGTCACTCAAGATCGCCCGGGGCTCTGGAGTGGCGCGTGGGATCTTGGGCTCGGGATCTTCCTCTCGCAGTCCACCTCTCCAGCCCCTACGCAAGGCTAGGATTCGCGCCCAGCTGGCCCAGGCCATGGAGGTGGAACGGGGGACTTCGGGAGGCCCTTTTAGGGGATGAGAGTGGGTGCCCGGGTACCACATCCCTCATTTCCTGTTAAGGACCAGTAGGATCAGTAGGTAAAGGGCTTTCAGGATTCCTTTGTCTTTAGGCCTTCAGACATTGCAGGTCTTCTAGGGCAGCTTCGCAAGCGCTTTGTAAGGGTACTCAAGTCGCGACCCTCAATTCCGAACTCTCTCGTGCAGAGAGTCCGCGCAGAGTAGAGACACCGCAGGACCACGATGTGACGACCATCCTACATGTTCGTGTCTGAGACGCCGGTGGTCGAGCAGCCTTTATCTACAACGGTTTGGTTGTTGGGGGTGATCCCTCTAGAAGCCTCAGGGTTTTCTGAGTCCTCTCTGAGTGTAGGGGCGTGGGGGTCATAGGGAGTCCCATGGTTGCGGAGGCGTTCAAGATTGGCGCTGTGCAATGCGAGAGAGTTGAGGGTCTGTTGCGGCCAACACGATATTATTCAGCACTCAGCCATATGCCGTGGCCTGCAGGCATGGTTTGTACTGTGAGGCTATGATGATGAGGCCATGAGTCACGTGCTAGTACCCAAATATCGAGAGACCAACGCCCATGCGTCATAAGCCTATGGAAGGCTCCGCAGTGCTGACAGCCAGCTTTGCCACACCGAGGTTTTTCGACCGGCTCTGAACCTAGGCATCGATGAGAAGGACCCAATGCTGCAAGTCGGGCTCCTGTGCTTTTCTGCACTTTCAGGAGCAAGTCGGCCGTTGTGCTGTTCTAGGTCGGCACTTGGTGCTCTTCATGTCTTTGTCGACAGGAGCTCGACGCTGCCTTGCGAATCGTCAAGTTCCAGGCGCGGCCCTCGCTGCACAAAACGCTTGCTGGGCTGTTTTTGGCCCACTTCTGTGTTGCTCGAGCTTCGCGCACATGGAATGCAGATAATTCGCCCACGTCTTACAGCCTCGGATCGTGGGATGCTGAGACTACTGCTCGGCTTACTTTCGTGAGATGGCTCGGCCAGGCACACAACAGCTTCGTGTCAGAGATGGATGCCATGCGCCGCCTCCTTTGAAAGAATTGAGTCTCGGGTTTAGAGGAAACTTAGAGTCCTGGCACCAGACAAGGCAAGAAGACCCTCAGCCCACAGAATCCACAACCCTAAACCCTAAATCCTAACTCCTAAACTCCTAGGTCCTCCATCCCTTATCGCACTCGCTCGCGTGGGTCGCTCAGGCAACAAGACTTGTGAGGTCATGGCCTCCTTGGAGAAGCTCCATGCGCCCTGGCTGGAGATGGGGGGGTGGTCCTTCCTAATTCAACCCCAAGCCCAGTTTTTTTATGGGGCCTGTCAGACCTCAAAACCTCATCCCCACACCGCCTTGTCCTGGAGCTATGAAATCTTGCGGGGACCCTGGGAACCAGGGTAAGTTCTGCTTTTGTGCGTGCTCATTTCTTGAAGGCCTCTGCTCTGTGCCCAGCTTTGGTTTGTCCATGGGATATGCCCGGCGGCTGGTTCGAGCTTTGCTGCGGATGTCTCCAGTGCGTCCAAAGCAGGTACAGCTCACGGAGCAGACCCAGAAGAAGGTCAATTGGGCGGGGTTTAGGGCTTGCAGTCTTTGAGTTCGGGCTTTAAGCTCCACGATCGCGCTGGCCATTCACGGCAGCAGTCATGCCAACTTACTAGCTGAAGACAATCGCCATGTTTGTTGAGGACCATCCGGGGGAGTATTCCACAACTTTGAGTACAGGAGCTTGGGTTTGGGCTTGACGGCTTGGGATTCGCGCTTTACGAAGTTCAGCAGGTTGGGGAGCGGCCCTCCCCCTCCCCAACTCCGAAATCTGAAGCCCAGGCAAGCGCTGACTCTGCTTTTGCTTCAAAATCAAGAACAGAATCATCTTGCCCATTAAGCAGAAGCTCGGCAATGCTCGGCAACAGTCTTGGCAGTTCGTGAAGGGAAGACCACAAACGGCAAGAGTCGATTGACTCGTCGAAGCTTACCCCGATGCAGGTGGAGCGCGTGGGGGAAGAGCTGGAGGAGCGTATGCCGCGCTCCTGGCCGCCTTTCAGACGGGTTCGGCTTTCGCAGCACTGTCGTACATGCTGCTGCTACTATTCCCTGCCTCATCCGTGGGCAAGGAAGCTATCAGGCTGTATTCGTACAGCCCACGCCCAGAAGGTCTACTGTTCCCGAACCTTCAGCTTGTCAAAAGATCTGAGAACCTTGTCATGTTGGGTGGTTAGCTGTGGGAAGACGTGCTCTAAGCTTGCTGCAGGGTGCGAGTACACCTTGTCCTTGAAATGCTGGGCTGGGAACTTCCCTGGACCGTGCTACTGTTGTGACAAACCGCGCTCGAAGCTTGAAACTTGGAGGTTTTCGGCCCCGGCAGCGCTGAATCACTACACCCAAGCCCTGAATGTGAAGCCCTAGAGGCCCGCAGGCCTTGGCCCCTGCAAATGGGTGATGGGGGCGTAGAGCGCCGGGCTTTGGCACCCTTAGCCTTGCAGGGAAATGCTATATTTAACCCTTATAGAGCACGCGGATCTGAGTCGTAGCTTTGAACTCGGTGCAGGGGGTCGGGGATGCGCTTCTTTTTCTAAGGATGAAGATGCTCGACAACGTGGCGGCGCGCCGCGCGACAGCAACCGAGTGGCTCCTTTGACATGGGAGGGCCAGGAATCTACTGTTTGCTTAAGGAGCCTCAACAAAAATCGAGATAATAATCCCCATACTAAACCTTAAACGGAAGGATCGTATTTGTGTTTTGGGGGTTTTGCAGCAAGTAGTAGAGATGGATCGCTGGCGTGTAAAAGGGAAAGGGTCATGCTGCTCTGGAGGCTTCTCCGGCGCGCTGGATGCCTACGCGTCTCAGGAGCCATGTCGGGGTTTCCGAAATTTAGGGGCACCCTTTTGGGGAGTCCCTTTACGGGGATTCTATTCTACTTGGGGTGCAAGAGGGGCACCCCTCGTTTGGGAAATCTGACCTCAGCCCAGCTGAGAAGCCTCGAGACCTTACCTCGCTCGAACTCAAGCCTCGGAAACCGGTGGTTCACGTGTCATTCGCATCTTTGAAGGCAGTATGCGAGCCTGCAGGGTGGCACCAATCATAGCAAGAACTGTCCATGAATTATATATATATATATATATGTATATGTATATATATATATATATATGTCTGGGACCCATGCCAATTGGCCATCAGAGTGGTCGAGGGACGGGGACGGGTGTGCTTTGGATTGCCTTTGTCCTGAAACGCAGTGCAATCCTGAAGCTGGGACACCCCCTGTTTGGACAAGGAGGCTGGCACTCGGAAGGTCCAGCCGTCGACGTCGAGCAGGTCCCCTTGCTTCCAGGAAGTCCCCCTGTAGAGCCCGGAAATCTCCCGAGCCCGGGACCTTCCAGGAGACTGGCAAGAGCAAGGGCAAAGAGCAGCCGGACTCGGACCCTTCTCGGGGGGTGTTCGGGGGCGGCCCTTTGTCGAGGTCTTCAGCTACAGGCTTTTGGGTGACTGTTGGGATCCGGAGCTCAGAGGAAGGGGTCAAAATTGGGAGGGTCTGGGAGTCGTTAGGCTTAGGTGCAAGAGCGCCAGTGCTTCAATTACTCAGAATTGCCGATGTAAGTTGCCACCCTGGGATGGTTTATGGATTCCGCAGTGGCAGGCCCGATTCTCGAAAGCCCTGAAAGTTTGCTCGCCAAAACCCTTTTGCGGGGGAGGAGGCCGATGCCAAGAAGGACAAGGGGCATCCATCGAAGGAGGATCTCCGCCAGAAGGCCACAGAATGTGGTTGTTCATGTGGTGTCCTCATGCTTCCTGTCCCCTGTTTCCCAAAGCTTTGCTCCCTGCTTGCCGACCGGGCAGTTTGGCCTTGCCGACAGCCGCTATGACGAGCTTGTCGCGGAGTTGGAGAATGCCGGCGACACAGAGGCAAAGTACGCGAAGGCGCTGGAGCTGTCCGGCGGAGAGAAACGACTCCAAAAACACAAGGAGAAGAGCCGCTCGGCCCTGCAAAGGCATTGGAAGCTTGTAGGCGTGTAGTTGGAATTGGCTCAGAGTGGCCCAAGCTTTCGTACCCAAGCTGTTCTGGCAGTGTTGTGTTCGGGTGCGGTCCTTGAAACCTCGACGTCCGCGGCAAAACACCTCACAGAGGATTCAGAGGTACCAGCCAACTTTCTGTGTTGAGAACCCCCGCCCTTCTCCCGGTGACCGCCGCCCGGGACCTAGAATCTGTCAAGCCCGAGGCGAGGAGCTGCAGAAGAAGTACGGCCTCCACGAAGCGCACCGTGCCCTCCTCCCGCCCGGCGAGCGCAACGCGCGCAGCATTAAGGCCGCCCGGGGGGGGAGTGGGGGAAGAGGGTCTCCGAATAGGCTCTCTAAAGGGTCGGAAGGCGGTATTGTGCAACTTCTACAACAGGAAGTGGTTCTTTGCCTGCCTGCTTGGCACTCTCAGAGTATGGTGTGGGCTTTGGAGCCAGGTGAACTTCCAGCCATTCTTCCAGACGCTGCCCGAGCTCTTCAAGTTTGCCGAGGAGGATCGCGCTCGCTGCTTTGCCTTGTTTTTTTTTCGGTAGCCCGGCCCTTTATGCTACAAGCTGCGACGAGGAGAAGCACCACTTCTTCGACCTGGTGGAGAGGGTGGCCAAGGCAACGAACGGGACCTACGCGAAGCCACCTCTGAAAGGACCGGAGCGCTGCTCGCCTTCACATGAACGGTTGTCTGGAGACGCCCGAGCTCCTGAGAGTCTGAAGAGGTTAACGCTCTCGAAGGCTTGTATGGCGAGTGTTGGAGCCGATATGGTCAGTTCTCTAACTTGTGGTCCCAATTTTTTTGAGAGGTGGCCATGGGGTTTACGACAAAAAGGGACCCCTAGTGTGGTCCCCCAAATAGTGGGACTCCCTTATACAATCAGAACCCCACCAAGGTACCCCTACTTTCGGAAACCCTAAACCCTAAGCCCTAAGCCCTAAGCCCTAAGCCCTAAGCCCTAAGCCCTAAGCCCTAAGCCCTAAACCCTAAACCCTAAGCCCTAAGCCCTAAACCCTAAACCCTAAACCCTAAACCCTCAACCCTAAACCCTCTAAACCCTATAAACCCCCGCAAGCTGGCAACCTCGGGCCTCTGTCAGCTCCGCGAGCTCCTCCTGCCCGAGGCTGCATCTCCAAAGCTCACTTTAAGTATGTGGACAGCGCCGGCAGGGTCGAATGGTGCTGCCGGCTTCCGATTGAACCCTGAACCCTAAGCCCTAAGCCCTAAGCCCTAAGCCCTAAACCCTAAGCCCTAAGCCCTAAGCCCTGAACCCTGAACCCTGAACCCTAAACCCTAGAGAGAAGGGCGGGTGGGCCAGCTGCATGGTTTGATCGCTGCTGAAGTCCTTGCGCGCCCAACCTGCAAACTCGCAAACTCGCAAAACATTGATGCCAACGTATTGCTTGAGATGTTCCCCCTATTAACCTTAACCGCCATAGGGATTATACTACCCCCCCCCACCTACAGGTATTAGGGTTAACAGTCCTTAACTGGGATTATAGTACCCCTTATCATAATCCCCATTGAGGACTGTTGCTATGAGGGGGCCTGGTCTGAGCTTTTCTGATTGGGGCCCTTGCTTTTCTTTGTGGGGTCAATGTTATGTAAACAGGGCCATGGGGCAATGTGCTTTGTGTGCCAGTTATTAGGTTTAGGTTTCAGCAGGGTTTAGGGCTTAGGGTTTAGGGTTGGTGTAGTGTATTTGATGAAGTATTTTCGACTATCTGATACATAAACTTCACAAACTGGGCCTCTCTTTGCCAGGCACCGGCTCACGGACATCGTGCGTGACACCCTCATCTTCGAGAACTTGTCAGACATGTACGCGGGCCTTCAGCTGATCGAGCAGGAGACAGGGCTTCCGCCGCGCTTTGCCGAGGGACTTGCGTGGCCCCTTTTCGCAGGACCGAAGCGTAGAGATCGTGGAGCTGAACGACAGGCCCGGGGGATTCAGCTGATACTCGGCACTTTGTCCCCGAACATCCCAAGGTTCCAGAAGAGCCTCGACGGCGGCTACCGGGACCTTCAGCTCACAGTTCGAGTGGGGAAAGGGCTCATGTGCGAGCTGCAGATGAACACGAAGTTCTTCCTCTACGTGAAGGACGGCGGGAACATTGATGTTTCGGATTCTTCTTGTCTGCACAAGATAGTCCGCCATGACTGTCCTGTTCTTCTGCCACTCCGTGCAGGAGACCAGCGGCCACCGTGCCTTTGAGGTCAGGCGCCAGTTGGTGGCCGACGTCACAGCCAATGACACGGGCGGGACTGCCAAGACGTTGGAGTGGGCTGCCAAGCAGCCGGAGGCAGCTGCTGTACCGGCGTATGCTGTGAAATTTTGGTTTCAGCTGCTCTCGTCTGTAATATGGGGATTCTTATTCGTTTAAAAATTTGTTGGGGGGGTTCTTAAGCAAATAGTAGGTTTAGTTGTGCTTTTGCATTGCACAGGAAAATCGCAGCTGCTTGCAAGTGCTGGTGCTGTGTGATTGTGCTCATGGAACGAAGCCCCTGCTGTGCAGCTTCCCGCTCGTGGGGTATACAGTAGGCTTGGAGTGTGCAGCTGCTTTGTGCCCTGGAGGCCCTGGAAGCTGTGCTGGCCGCGCGCAAGTCTCCCTTGCTTCACATCGCGGCCGAGAAGGGAAATTCCGACCTGGTGCCACTTGACTGACAGCAAAGAACTATCTCCCCCTTAGGAATTATTCTTATATTTTTGTTTATATAAACCCAAAAGGATATTGAAAATATTATTCTTATTAAGGTTTTAAGGGGAGTATAGAGAAGTGGCCGGCTTCCATTGCGCTAGCTGGTGCAGCAGTGAGGCACCTCTTTCTCCAGCACCGTGCCGACGTCAACCTGGCCGAGGACAAGACTGGGCGAACTCCCTTGCATGAGGCGCCTGCCCTGGTTTCCTGCATAATGGGTGCGACCTCCTGATGGCATGGGGGGTTGTACCTTGCTTGAGAGGCGATGTCCCAGGGCCGCTCCTGCGCTGCGTGGGCGCTCATCACGGCCGGGGCGCGACAAGAAGCAAAGGACGCAGATGGCCACACAGCCCTGACCCTCGGACGCTTTCCTGCACATTTCCCATACTTGTGAAGCTGAGGCCATTTGGCGTTTGAGCTGTAAGCTCCCAGTGTTGCTGGCAAGCTGGCACCAAAGGCCGTCTCATGCAGAGAATGTTCCCCGAGAGTGAGCCGGTTGCAAGGCGGGATGTGGGCTGCGAGAGGCGAGCCGTTAAACCGTTAAATGGACGCTGTGCCAGTCGCCCAGGTGCGTGTGTATGCTCTCACAAAGGCTGGGCGTGCAGGACATGCGGGGCTCGCCTAATCTGTCATCGCTGCCTATCGCTGCGCGCTGTCTGTGACGAGTCACTGCTGCTTCGAGGAGCTGCAGCTCTCGACAAAGGCCTTCGAAGAGGAGGTGCGCCGCCGGCTGATGAACAGCTCCGAGTTGGTGACGCTGCCTGCCCCTCAGCTGCCTGGGCGCCTTTCCGCGCCTTGTTATGAAGGCCCTAGACTGAATAGAATAGATCGAATGGATGCGGCCTGAGGGCCTTCGACGGCGACGAGGCCAAGGTCCTCGAGAAGCTCCGGGACTGGAAAGACCCGGAGAGCCAGAACACGGAGGGCCAGCGGCCCTTGCACCAGGCGTGGGCTATGCACAGAACCTTTTCGCTGTGCCCTACACATGCTCTCCTGAAACTTGTTCTGGTTTTGGCAGGCTCTTGCCAAAGGCCACCTGAAAGTGGCCAGGCACCTGATGCTCTACAAGGCCGATGTTTGGCAGAAGGCGAACGGCCGAACCGCCGTCTCCGTGGCGCTGGAGCACCCCGATGGCCTGCAGCTCCTCATCGACGCGCACCGGGATGATGAGGACAGGGCAGCGGAGAGCTTGCACGAACTGCTTAGCCTTGGGCACGTGCAAACGCGTCAACGCGTGCGCCTTGCCACCGGAGGACGCTTCCGACCTGATGTCAGGAAGCCGGGGGCTTTTGCTATTTTGCCACGTGTTGCAGTGACATGGCATGTCGGAGCCATGCCAGTCCGGAGCCCATGGAAGCCCCATGCTTAAGCCCAGAGGCAACGAGGCCCTCTTTCGCGCCGCGCAAGAGTTGAAGGAGATGCGGGAGGCCCCCGTGCCTCCTTGGGAGAGTCAGATGGCTGAAAGGAGAGCGCTGCGGCAGAGTTGATGCCCAGGCTGCGCAGCCGGATGCTGACGACCAGACTGGCCTGAATCCCAGCGATGCGCCAGTAAAAAAGTCCAGCCGCACGCGACGTGTGGCAGAGATGGAGAGAGAGAGTGTGACGAGTCTCGAAGTCTGCGAATTTGCCACGTAGCGTTGCAGATCTATGTAAAAATATAGGTTTGGTGCGATCTGGTACAGGGTGGGACAAGGCGTGCCGGCGCTGCAGCTGGCCGCCGCCACCGACGACCTGGAAGCCCTCAAAGAGCTGCTGGACAAGGGCCAGGACAAGGCCACGCTGCGTTTCCTTTTTTCCTGAATGTCCTTCCCCCTGCATGGTTGGAGCTTCATACCAGGATGCCAAGGACGCCGGAGGTGTGGAGCTCAGCTTCCGGCGCACGCTCCGCCCATGTCCGCGACAAGCGCCCTGAGGCCACACGGCCCTGATGGTGGCTGCCCGGCATGGCAGGGTGGAGTGCCTCACGGAGCTGCTCCAGCGCGACGCAGACAAGGCGCCTCTCTCGTGATTGCCCATGTTCTGAAAGAACGTCGTCCAGAGATCGTTGAACCAGTCAGCTACTGTAGTTGCCTTCCCGAGAGTCTAGCAATACATGCGGGTGTACGAAAATACGGGAGCCTAATGTGCACCCCCGAAATAGCACAATATTCCCGAACAACAAGGGGTCGGCCGGTGGCCTTTGAGTCTTAGAGTGGGCTCCGGGTTCAGGCGCGGGAAAGCCATTGGTTGCATCCAAAACCACAGAGCTTCGGCCTGTGCGGGATAGCCAGAGAGCTTGATGACCACACAATCACCACACATGGACTGAAAGGTGCCCTGGATCTGGGGCGTTTTTTGAGGCGTTACGAGATACTACTGCAAAGAGTGCCACACTCGGGAGCCCCACCCGCCAGGAGGCCCGTGACGAAGAGGGCTGGGGCCTCGGAGGGACGGGTGCTGGCAGAGCTTGGAGTTGATGAGAGTGGAGAAGTTGTGTGAAGTTGGAGAGGCGCAGAGAAGATCGGGGAAGGCTGCAGCCTTTCCATGCATATAGGAAGCGGGCCCCGAGGCCGGACAGCGCTGATGCTCGCTGCTGCTAAAGGCCAGCGAGATTGCCTGGAAGCGCTCCTGCAGGCGGGTGCAGACAAGGCCAGAGCGGCACGCCCGAGGTTTCTCTCACCCGCCTGCTTGCATGCAAGCCCCGAGAAACCCCGAAAATCGAGCCTAATCATGGCATATCATGGCGAACAAGTGTGTTGTTCGCTCAAAGTGGTGCGTTTCGGGCAGTGCCAAGCGAAGCCCGGCAACCCCGGTCCTGTCACACCGAGTCGCACCTACTATGCTGCGTACAAGCCCCCCGAGAGCATTCTGTGAAATCTGGGCTAAGCTCGCTGTCTCTTTCCATATGACTTGGATACTTCGGATCGACTTCTCTTCGCCAATTGCTTAAGCCTGGGCCCTCGATCTTCGACATCAGCCGGAGGGCCTGACATCTCGGTAGTGAGCCCTGTAGTGTCGTAGTATTGGAGGAAGGTAGGCTCCGCTGGGGCTTCAGGCATTCAGGCACGGGCTCACTGCAGGTTAGGGTTTAGGGTTTAGGGTTTAGGGTTTAGGGTTTAGGGTTTATAGGGTTTAGGGTTTAGGGTTTAGGGCTTAGGGCTTACGGCTTAGGGTTAAAGGGTTTAGGGTTTAGGCTTGCAAGCCTCGCAGAATCGGAAGCGTCCAACTCGGCAGCAAGACCCCTGAGAGCCCCAAATGACCTTCTGCCCCCTCAGCACACCTTCCATGCCGCAATGCAAGCCAAAAATCGGGAACAAAAGGGGTTAGTTACATCCGGGGGGATCAGATGCATTCTGAAACTCCTGAGGGTCTCGGGCCTCGGCGATTTCTTGGAGTGCGCACGGCAGCCACCGCGGGGTCTACATTTTCGGTCACATTTTGGTCGTGGGACTTGGTTGTAAATACACGTAGAATTGGGTGGGAGCCACGCGAATTTTGCAGAGCCAGCCCTTTCAGCCAGCTTTTTGACATCCAGAATGACCCAAGAACCCCATTTGACGGGCCGCGCGCGAAGCCCAGGCCGAACATGACTGTGACTGGGGTCTCTGTCTGCAGGTGCATGAGCTTGAGCCTAGCGAGCCCCATAAGCCCTTAGCGTTAGAGGACGCTCTGCCGGTCAATTCGAGGCCTCTCTTTGGCAAAAGCTTTTGAGAAGCCACCAACGCAGGGCTTGAAGACCACGCAATCAGCACACAGTTGCCGCGCAATCACCACACACACACCACACCTGGACGGAAGGGTGCCCTCGATCTGGGATGTTCTGTGAATCGTCGCAAGATACTCAAGTTTCTTTAAACGCAGAGAGTCCCGCAACAGTGGGCGCCTCCCCTGCCACCACACTCGGCAGCCCCGCTTGCCAGGAGGCCCACGACGAAGAGGGCAGGGGCCTCGGAGGGACGTGTGCTGGAGAGTTGGAGAAGTTGAGAAGTTGGAGGGGCGCAGAGAAGATCAGGGAAGGCTATCCGACATGTGCGAGTTCCCGAAGGTTTATAGGGAGTGACCCCCGAGGTCGGACAGCGCTGATGCTCGCTGCCGCTGAAGGCCAGCGAGATTGCCTGGAAGCGCTCCTGCAAGCGGGTGCAGACAAGGCCAGAGCGGCTTCCGAGGATTTTTCTCCCGCCTCTGCTTCCATGAAAGCCCCGAAGAACCCCGAAAAACAAGCCCCACCATGGCGAAAAAGTGCACCGCTCGCAGAAAGTGGGGCGTGCCGAGTACTGCCAAGCGAAGCCCGGCAACCCCAGTCCTGTCACGCCTGCTACGCTGCGCATTCTGTGAAATCTGGGCCTAAGCACGCTCTCTCTCTCTCTCTCTCTCTCTCTCTCTCTCTCTCTGTCTCTATTCTCTCCTTCCAGACGACTTGGATAATTTGAAGCAACTTCTCGACGCCATCCAAGCAGAGCTGCAGTCTGTGAATTTTCGGGTGCCCAAATTTGGCCGTTTCGGACTTGGTTGTAGTACTTTGCACAAACAAAAGGTTAGGAGCCCCTCGTTTTGAAGAGCCGGCTCACGCGTGTGGGTTTCGAGACAGGTTTTGAAGGTCCACGGAAGGGTCGGATGTGGGTGCCACTTGCGTCACTTGCGTAAGCCTGGGCCCTCCATCTTCGACATCAGCCGGAGGGTCTGATATCTCGGTAGTGAGCTCTGTAGTACTGTAGTATTGGAGGAAGGTAGGCTCCGGCCCTGGGCTCGAGCAAGCAAAACCAGGCCCTACCAACCACCGAAATGGCCCTCTGCCCCCTCAGCCTACTGAGCCCCGCAGTCGGTCCATGGGCTTATAGTGGGCTCTGCTGGGGGTTAAGGCGCGGGAAACATTGGAGGCTCTTTGGCAAAAACTTTTCGAAGCTGCGTGATAACGACGAAAGTAACGGAAAGCTTGATGACCGCACAATCAGCCCTCGCTCTGGGGTGTTCTTTGAGGCGTCGCGAGATGGCGAGATACTCAAGTTTCTTGAAACGCAAAGAGTGCCACAACAGTGGGCGCCTCCCCTGCCGCGCCACACTCGGCAGCCCCGCTTGCCAGGAGGGCCGTGACGAAGAGGGCAGGGGCCTCGGAGGGACGGGTGCTGGCAGAGCTTGGAGTTGATGAGAGTGAAGAAGTTGTGAGAAGTTGTAGAGGCGCACAGAAGATCAAGGAAGGCTGTCGCGTATCCCACATGCCCTATGTGTGCTGGCTTGTTACGGCTTGTTTTGCGTCCACAGGGCCAGGCCCGACTCTTCTGTCACGTTGGCGAATCGCTTAAGGTGTAGAGGGAGCGGCCCCCGAGGCAACACGGCGCTGATGCTCGCTGCCGCTGAAGGCCAGCGAGACTGCCTGGAAGCGCTCCTGCAAGCGGGAGCGGACAAGGCCAGAGCGGCACGCCTGGGGCTTTTTTCACCCCTTGCCGGTTCTGTACTACCCTGCGTACAAGACCCCCCTGAGAGCATTCTGTGAAATCTGGGCCAAGCTCACTGTCTCTTTCAATATGTCTTGGGTACTTCGGAGCAACTTCTCGATGCCATCTTCAGGCGGCAGGGAATTTGGCAAAAGCTTGTTGAAACCACGGAGCTTCAACGGGGCTCTACGGGAGAGCCAGGAGATAGGCAACGCAGGGCTTGAAGACCGCACAATCAGCACACAATAGCCGCACAATCACCACACACTCACCATACCTCTGGACTGAAGGGTGCCCTCAATCCGGGGTGTTCTTTGAATCGTCGCAAGATACTCAAGTTTCTTTAAACGCAAAGAGTGCCGCAACAGTGCGCGCGAGCCCCGCTTGCCAGGAGGCCCACGACGAAGAGGGCAGGGTCCTCGGAGGGACGGGTGCTGGCAGAGCTTGGAGCTGGAAGGCTGTAGCGTATCCCGTATCCGACGTGCGCGAGTTCCCGAAGGTATACAGGGAGTCGCCCCCGAGGCCGGCCGCCGCTGATGTTCGCTGCCGCCGAAGGGCAGCGAGACTGCCTGGAAGCGCTCCTGCAGGCGGGTGCAGACAAGGCCCGAGCGGCTTGCCGGTGCGCGTGGGCGCTACGGGGGGGAAGGGGTCGGGAAGGGTGCCCCGAAAAACCTAGCCCCACCATACCATGGTGAAAATAGTGCGCTGCTTGCTGAAAGTGGTGCGTTTCGAGTTGTGCCAAGCGAGACCCGGCAAGCTCGGTCCTGTCACACCTACTACGCCGGGGTCGAGCACACTCTGAAGTTTTGCCGGAAGCATCCACCTCGGCAGCACACAGAACAGGAGGAAGCATTCTTGCTGAAAGTGGAGCATCGAGGTGCTGGGTGACACCGACAACCCGGGTCCTGTCACACGCAAGACCCCTCAGAGCAATCTGTGAGACTCGGAATATGTTTATCCGGGTCCCGGCTCGAGCAATGGGAGCGGGGGTCCCCTTTGTAAACCCGACTGTGGCTTCCGATCCTATAGCAGCCTTTACCAGCCACCCCCGCAACCGCCCCAATTGCCTTCTGTTCCTTCAGCGCAGCTACCTTCGTGTCGGATGCATGCTGAAAACAGAACGCCAGAGTGTCTCACAATCAAGAGCAAATAGGACGACACTGACTGACCGTTTCTCCGCCTCTAGATTCGTGCGTGGTAACCACAGAACTGCGACACCCTATGCGAGATAGCAAGGAAATGGGCAACGGAGAGCTTGAAGACCACACAATCACCACACAATAATCGCACACTCACCATACACCATACATGGACCGAAGGGTACCCTCGATTTGGGGTGTTCTTTGAGGTGTCGCAGGATACTCAGTGAAGTTTGCTGAACTCGAAAGAGTTCCGCAAAGTGGGTGCCTCTCCTTGGGAGCCCCGCCTGCCAGGAGGCCCACGACGCAGAGGGCAGCGTCCTCGGAGGGACGAGTGCTGGCAGAGCTTGGGGTTGATGAGAGCGGGAGAAGTTGGAGGGGCGCAGAGAATATCAGGGAAGGCTGTAACTGTAGCGTATCCCGTGTCATGTGCGAGTTCCCGTACCTCCCAAGACGGTCCAGGCCGCCCCGGAAGTCCTGCGTGGGTCCGGCACGTTTTGTCACGTTTAGAGGGAGCGGCCCCCCAGGCCGGACGGCGCTGATGTGGGCTGCCCGTTGTGGCCAGCGAGACTGCCTGGAAGCGCTCCTGCAGGCGGGTGCAGACAAGGCCCGAGCTCGCCTGTGGAAGACTCCCAGCTTGAGCTGCCGCGCCTTAGCTTCGCATCCCGCAGCCGTTTTTGTAAGGCTTACGAAAGAACCTTGCCCATTGCTTGTATGCACAGGTTTCTAATCTTTCCGGTTGCCCCTCCATCTTGCTGTGCCCCCCCCCCCGAAAGGAGTCGAAGGACAAACGCGGTCCGGAGCTTGGGGCTCACTGCTCTGGCTTTCGCAGGGCTCGCAGGTCAGTGTAGCCCAAACCTGCAGCAAAAAGACTGATCACAGGCCACGCAAAGAAGCCAAGTGAAGTGAGGGGAATGTAAGCCTTAAGGCCCCAGACTCAAGGTTCGGCGCTGTTCTTCCAAATCTTCCTGCGCAAGCCCTTTGATGCTACCCAAAGCTTGCGGTGAGAAGGGCCCTATTCCCCGCCCCCCCCCCCCGCCTCTGCTTCGGTAAGCGCCTGGCAGGGGGTTTCGCAGACTAAGGAACCGAGCTAAGGACACTGATTGCCTTCATTCTTTGGGGCTCAGTGCTTCACCAGGGCGTTGCACAAGCACGAGCTCCCTCGCAGACTCCCAAGAAGATACAGCCCGTAGAGTAGCTTAACTTAAGGGCAGCCAAGTGGATCAACATGGAGCCCAGCAAATATGGAGCGATCCCGCTAAACCCTAAACCCTAAACCCAAAACCCTGAACTCTAAACCCTGAACCCTAAATCCTAAACCCTATAACCCCTAACCCCTAAACCCTAAACCCTAAACCCTGAACCCCTTAACCAGACCCTGCCCTCTTACTCAAGGCAAGACGGCGCTGGGGCATACGAGGGGCGAGGCGGACGGGGGTTTTGTATTGGGGCGGAGCGCCGGGGCTTCCACTGCCAGGCAGACAGCTTTTGCATGTTCTTACCGCAAACCCTAAACCCTAAACCCTAAACCCTAAACCCTAAACCCTAAACCCTAAGCCCTAAACCCCTTGAACCATGTTTTGATAACCTATCCGAATCCCCCAAGTCGTCATTGGGGCAGCTGCGGGGCCTTGGGGAGAAGTCGGAAAACAAACTGAAGAAGCACTCTTCCCTTTTGGGATCCTGTTTCAGGGTCGGTTTAGGGTTTAGGGTTCAGGGTTCAGGGTTCAGGGTTTAGGGTTTAGGGTTTAGGGTTTAGGGTTTAGGGTTTAGGTTTAGGGTTTAGGGTTTAGGGTTTAGGGTTTAGGGTTTAGGGGTGAAACCGGCTTGTTGCTTGTCCCTTACGACTACTACTGGTGGTTGTCGAAGCATCTTCCAAAGACCCCGTTCCAAACCTCTTAAGACCCTGTATCAGATCCATAAGGCACGCCACCCTAAATCCTGAACTCCCCAAGCCCTAAAACCCTAAACCCCAAACCCGAAACCCTAAACCCTAAACCCTAAATCCTAAACCCTAAACCCTAAACCCCAGAATCGCAGGGGTGCCGGCAGCTCCTGAGCCCAAGCCTTGGTTGCGTTGGGCCGGAAATGTACGAGTTGTTTAGGGTTTGGGGTTTAGGGTTTAGGGTTTAGGCTTTAGGGTTTGCGGAAACACGCCCCTTGCCCCTTCCCCTCGTGCCCTCTTTTGCATAGGGTTGAGGGTTCAGGGTTTAGGGTTTAGCCAAGTCGCCTCTTTTGCAGGGCTAGTGCGGCGTGTTGACTGCGTGTGCAAAGAGGGTATGTGCAGGGCCCAACGCAGCTCCTGGAGGGGCGGGCTCAGCATTTGGATTCCGTAAAGCCAGTCCTATGAGAGGGGTTCCAGGCTTTGGGCTACCCTAAACCCTAAGCCCTAAACCCTAAACCCCAAACCCCAAACCCCAAACCCTCAACCCTGCCCCACGGTGCATACGGTGCCACACCCTAAGTCCTTTGAAGCCTCGCAAGCAGCATGACGGAAAGGCCGGGGCTTCCAGGTCAGCCCCTCTCCTCCCATGGCTCCAGCCAAAAGCCCGCCCATACTACGCCGTGAATTTTGCGCCTGAGGCGACTGACGGAAGCTTCGTGCCTGCGGTGGAGCCAGGTGCGCTGAGGGACTTTCTGGGCCCTGCCTTACAACCTTGAAAGCCCGACAGCAGAGCCTCAAAATGTCAGGTCCAACAGTTTTTGGTTGCCAGACAGTTGCTCCTGACCTTGGGGACGAAATGAACCCTAAAAGGGTTTATGGTTCATATACCTCAATGGTAATTATAGTAGTATAGGGTATATGACCCCCAATTTTAGGGTTCATTTCGTCCCCAGGGGAAGATCTCTTAAAAGAAGGTGCAGGTGCCCTTCGGTCGAAGCTTGTATGCTAGTGCGAGGTAGGCCCTTCATCCGAAGTTTGAGAAAGCCTGGACGCCCTGGCCCCGACAGAGCCCCGCATCCGAAGCCTCTGAGGGAGCTGGAGTTCAGCAGCTCCAAAGCTTTAGGGTTTAGGGTTTAGGGTTTAGGGTGTAGGGTTTAGGGTTTAGGGTTTAGGGTTTAGGGTTTGGGGTTTGGGGTTTAGGGTTTAGGGTTCAGGGGACTCTGCTGAAACCTTTAGGCAAGTTGCAAAGGGAGGGGCATGCTCCAAGAAAGCCCGCCATCTGCCGCCACTCCTGAGCGTGCACTTTTGTCTCGAGTGTGGATGGGCTCATAGGCCCACGAATGCATTTACGGTAACTTTAGATCCTTGGCCTTTTTGGGTTTATTGGGTTTTCTAGCAAGGCAGCCAAAACTTTAATTTATATCTACCCTCCTAAGTGCAGCCAAGAATGCAGGCCGCGTAGGAAGTATGGTGTCGCGTTTCGCCCTGCAGGCACGGAGGCCGCCAGGCGGAGACGTGCACGCACTCGAACCTCTTGGGTTGCTACTGGAACCTGGTACCATAAGTAAGTGCATACTGGGAACCCATCATTGGGGGCTAGGCAGTGCTGACTTCAAAGGTGTCGCATTAGTGTTCAACAGGCTCGCCAGAAGGACGGGCTAGAAGGACACCTGCAATTATGTTTGGCAAGGGGTCTGCTTCCGTCGAGCGCCGGAGTGACGTGGATGGCGTGCTGCGCGCCGAATCCTTCTTTGGCCGCCTCCCTGCCTCATGACAAATGTGGGAATCTTTGAGCAAGCGGTGAGAACCCCCCCCCCCCCCTATATACACTGACAAAACCTGTTGCGTTGTTTTTTCTGCATTGGACTTTTCAGTTGTTCAGGGCCTCCTAACCTAGCAGTCACACGGGAGGCCCTGCAAGCCGTGGTGCCTGCACCAAACAACTTAAGCGATTGTTGTGCTGATCATGCTGCATCTGCGGCTGCTGTCCTACTACTTGGAGGTTCATGGGTAGTGTGGTTATCAGTCTACTTATAACCTACCTACTTAGGGGACTTATGGGGACTTATAAGTACAGTTATAATTTGGGTTATTATAAGTACCCATGAACCTCCAAGTACTGTAGCAGGAACGAGATTGCCCAATGTGTGCAGGCTGGGCGAGGTATGTCGCGGCCGGATGACCGATTGACCTGATGGCGGAGGGTGGAGACCAGGAGGGACAGACTCTGGCATCCTGTAAAACTGTATTTGCACTGCGAGAATCCGGTGGCAATTTATGGTAATGCGCTTCCGCTGGCGCTAGGATGGGATCGGAGACTCTTAGCTGTGCAAAGATCAGAGCAGACAAAGGGATAGGAGGTATCCTGTCCTAGCGCTTGCGGGAAGACTGCTAGGGGCTTAATTCGGAGGAAAACCACCTCCGGAAAAAGCTCGAGCAGCCCCAATTTAGCTAGGCCAATCAGTGCCGCGACACGAACACACTCGAGCACTCGAGTGGATACCGAAGCACAGGGCACTGTTTGGGTGCACTTCGCCTCGGCAAGTTTACCATACCGGCAGCCGAAACCTGAGAACTACCCACCATTTTTCCCGGATCGTTGCCCAGCCTGGGCAAAACTCCCTCCAAGAGGGTTTTGCCAAGGCTGCGCGATGAACATGGTAGGAAGGCAGCTGGAACTAACTAGGTAACTCCTGCACTTCTTTATGGTTTTTAGATGTTGATGTTGTCATTACACTGAGTGAGACGAGTTTTTCGCATGAATCCTGCCTTGCTCTTAGCGGCGGCAGTTTCCTCCCGAGGAGGTGTGACCCGCCTGGTTAGACTCCGACGACTGCAAAACCCTAAGTTGAGTTTCGGCGCTTGTCAGCCAGTGAGAAAAGGTTGCTGAGGCTGCGTACGTGATGTAGGTTCATGCTGGTTAGAAGAGCAATGTCACCTGCACTGACGCCTTCAATCATGGGGGCAGGCGGGGGGATTCCCAGGTGAGAGTGCTCTGTTTGATTCACGATTCGGTGCCTGGCAGAGGGGGAGAAATGCATGAACCCTAAACCCTAAACCCTAAACCCTAAACCCTAAACCCTAAACCCTAAACCCTAAACCCTAAGCCCTTTGTGACATGAACGCAGGCAGCTCCCCGCTGTTCAAACCCTAACTTGGCCAAGTACAAGTACCCCAAAACCCCCAACCTTGGACCTTGTTTGCGGCAGCCTCTACGAGCTGCGTCCCTAAACCCTAAACCCCTAAACCCTAAACCCTAAACCCTAAACCCTAAACCCTAAACCCTAAACCCTAAACCCTAAACCCTAAACCCTAAACCCTAAACCCTAAACCCTAAACCCTAAACCCTAAACCCTAAACCCATGGGTCGGTTGGGGCAGGGCGGGCTCTTGAGGATTTTGAGTTGGCTCAAGGACGCAGTGGACAAGCCTCCGAGCCTAAACCCCTAAACTCCTAAACTCCTAAACTCCTAAACCCCCCTAAACCCTAAACCCTAAACCCTAAACCCTAAACCCTAAACCCTAAACCCTAAACCCTAAACCCTAAACCCTAAACCCTAAACCCTAAACCCTAAACCCTAAACCCTAAACCCTAAACCCTAAACCCTAACAAAAGCCAGGGGCATGGTAGTGAGGGAAGCAGAGGGCATGCCGGAAGCCGGGCTGCGACTGTTGGAGCTCCCAACAGGCCCCCCGATGTTGCTTGCGGTGTGCTCCCGAAGCTTCCAACCCTGAGCTCGGCTTGTTAGGGTTTAGGGTTTAGGGTTTAGGGTTTAGGGTTTAGGGTTTAGGGTTTGGGGTGTAGGGTTTAGGGTTACTTGGAGGTTCAGGGTACTTATACCCCCAAGTATATCTGTACTTATGAGCCCCTGAGTCCCCTAAGTAGGTTATAGTTCGACTTATAATTGGGGTTGTAAGGTGCCCATGAACCTCCAAGTAATGTCGCAAGTACACCTTGAACCCCACAGCCGCCTGGCTAGTAGTAATATAGCCGTATGATCGTAGTAATACAGTAGTACTAGAGTCGTCTTATCGTAGTATTATAGTAGTATGAACGAACTGTCATGATAGTCATCGTATTATTGCTATTGTCTTTGTTATACAGAAGCTAGGCTGCCGGGGGTATTTGATGCCCAGGCACGTCATGGAAATCCGACTTGTTGGATGTCATGCTGTGAGACGCATAGCATGAAAACCCCACCACCCCTTGCAACTGAACATCCCCATTACTTGGAGGTTCAGGGTACTTATAACCCTAGTTATTACTGTACTTATAAGCCCCCCTAAGTCCCCTAAGCATTCCCATTATGGCATGGAGTAGTGACGTGCCAGTACATGTCGTGCATTGTGACATATGCCAGCCAGTAGCAGAGAAAACATGAACTCCATGCGCTGGAGATTCACTACTTGGAGGTTCATGGGTACTTATAGCCACA